CTTCCTCTAAAAAAGAGAAAAAAACATTGGGCCTTAAGATGGGCCCGAAACAAAGCACAAAAACTTTCTGAAAAACGGCGTTCGAACGTTCAGAGGATCGTTCGAACGTTCAAAAGACTGGAACAAACCTAAAGCACTACGTTCTGTCTACAATAGCCAAAGTTTGAACGTTCAAAGGAAAGTTCGAACGTTCAAAAAGACTAGATCACTTTTTGTTCAAACGTAGAACTAACGTTCGAACGCTAAAAGCTGAAACAGCCAACGTTCGAACACTGTAACAACGTTCGAACGTTACTGAAGAAAATGCTAAAAAAGCATCCTGGATACATTGTTTAAATCCGACTTTTCCAAAAAGCCCAATCATGACCACCTCGTCAACATCCATATAATAACAACACATCCTCCGCATAACCACGCGGGCAACAACAACATATACAAGCGCATAAACAACCCATACATATAAACCATAAATTCGATAAAACATATAGTATATATACAGAGGGGCTCTAGTGCGGACGTCCGCATGCGGACAGAGGGGCAAATAAGTAAACTATATATCTTATATACCTTTTTAATGTTATAATTGATTTTCGCTATTGGTATCTACTACTTGACGTATTTATTTTAACCGTATCTTGCAATCCAGTAAGTTGATCTCTTTGCTTTTTTCTGAGTTCTGATTTTTGTATCAAGGAGAGTTGTACCCCAATATTGCTTGTTCCAGATATAGGGGCACTGTTTTATTACTAATCGTTTTCCTTTTTATCGGAATCTTCATACAAAATTAGTTGATTAACTAATACCAACAACTGTAATTATTCAATGTTTGATTATTGCTTTTTGAAAGATTCTTAATAAAGTCCTAAAAAATTAGCTAATTAACTAAACCAACAACTATAATTGTTGAATGTTTGATTATTGCTATCTGACTATCTCTTTAGTATTATTTTACATATTATTTACACCTTATGAACCAATTTTGCTACGGTTATTTAATGTGTGGGTATGCAATGAATACAATTGCTCTCAATCTTGCAAGGAAACTTGTTTTTGTAATTAATGTTGGTGGTTTGATTTCTTTGGATCTTTAGCTCAAATGGTAGAGCACTTGAGATTAAGAGCAACGCCTACTACGTCTCAGAGATGGTGGTTCAAATCCATCAAGATCTTAATTTTGTTACTAATAATTAGTTACAGTTGTATAGTAGAATCAATTAATAGACTTTTTATAGATGAGTTCATAGCTGCCGTTTGTTCATAATGCAGGTTCACACTGTCAAAGTAGGTTCTTGCTGATTGGACTTTTGTGTGTAAGTTTTCATAGATTATATTTACTCTGTTAGAATCCTTAGATTCAAAATTTTCTGTTGAACCCATTCTATATGGTGCTATAATAAAGTTCCAAAAGCAAGAAGTCACAACTTACAAAAGGGTCGTTGCCCGAAATCTATGAGCACTGTATATTAAATGAAGTTTGTTTAGTGACTGCTTGTAGACTTGATACATTACAGTCGGTAACTTGGTGCCTCGCAAACTAGCACACCATGCGAATGTTATCCGTCGTGTACCAAAACCTATATACTAGCTTGCGAATTTTAAGGGGGGGTTAGCTTTATAAAGTAAGGTTTTACGTTGTGCAGGTAATTTTTATAAGGCCAAAAAAATATTGGTTGTAATATGGAAATGAATATCTCCAGGGTATGTTAGACCAAAAACAAGAAATAGTTGTGAAGAGGCTCATAAACAGTATACAGAGTTTATCAGTATACATGTTTTCTTGTTTCCAGAATCGCAGGCTAATCTTCTAACTGCCTATATGTTGTTTTGCCTTCAATTGCTTTGATCTGCGGTCCTTGGTATCAGTTGAACTTCATAATTCATCCATCCTTGCTCATACACAGTTGCATACATACACACTTGCAAACAAATCTATTGTGTCTATACTTCAAGAAGCTTCAGACATATAAAAAAATTCAGTACATTCAGTAAATAGATATGGTGTAATTAATTTCAAAAAGATAGAACTGCTATGCATAAGCCAATGTGTGTTGTTCAAACTGAAATGAAACGATCATGTTATACTTTAATTACTTGACCTTGTATTGCAGCTAAATGAAGTGGGCTATAATCCTCAGTGTTCAATTTTATAAGGAATCATGGCTTTAAATTTAAAAGCTCCACTGTAAAACTTGCTTGATCAGCTAAAACAACACCATGTAGAGGAGTTTGCGAAAATGGGTTTTGATTGATAGTCTCCAAAAGAAGAGGATCTAAAGTAAGTATTGCATACATGTTGTCTATGTCTCCTCCTGCTTGAGCTGCCTTGCCTAGTTTCTGATCCATTTTGTTAATAAGACATTAAGAAATTATTGTAGAAAAGGTTGTGTAGGAGATTAGATGACTATATAGATGGGGATTTTCTTTACTTGTTGTGCTGCTGTGCAGTTGATCTTGTCATGGTTTATATAGTTTCATCTATATAGTAACAGTGTGTGCTCTGTGTCTTTCTTTGTGTTGGTCTCAAGCTGGTATTGCTTTAATGCGTGCTACTATTTAGGAGCGAGGTCCTTTGTATTTGCTTATTAAGTTGAAATCGATCTGATAATGATCATTCTAGCATATTGATTAGTTTGTTACTTATATCATAACAAATAAGAATAAGAATTTAATAATTTTTTTTTATTACGATCAACTCACCAATTTCAATGGCAGATTCTGAGGAGAGATATCAATGTGGAGATAAAAGGATATACAGTACAAAAGACAAGAAGAGAATGAAGAGAGACAGAGCGATAGGGAAGACGAGGACACGAGGCAGAAGAAAGAACGACAACTTCCTATCGGGTCTAATCTGGGTTAAACTAGGCCCATTCGGGAGAACCATATTAGCGATTTGCAAAGTTAATTTTTTTAATTTCTCTTACCTTACCTGTTTTACCCTCAAATTCCGCATGCGGACGCCCGCATTGGAGCCCCTCTGTATATATATATATATTTGGGTACTAATGTGAGTTTCTGACGGATTTCTTGCCTAATTATTAAAGCAAAAGTAATGTCTTATGTCATGAGCAACTTGGTTGGGGTTTAAAAGGGTAGTACATATCATAGTTGAAAATTCTGAAAATACCCGAAATTTCGGTTTCTAAAATACCGAAATATTCCGCCTTTTTGTCGGAATGGTGAGGTTGAAATTTAAAAAAAATATTAAAATATAATAA